ACAAGTAGATTTACTATCGCACCAGAGGGGTTGGGCAACAATATACAAATTAGAGCCTTTGTTGTTGCCAGACTACGGCAAATCAATGACAGCAGCAAAGCAACTAAGAGTAAAACACGTTAGAAACTGAGCTGACTAGCAAATACCCTAGGAATGAGCAAGGCCTTAACTGGTAGGGAAAGGCAAAGGGAATTATGAGTAGATATGCCTAAGGAACAGCAATTTGTTATTGAATAAAAGTCAATATCAGAAATTCTGAAGGGACAATATTTGTATTGTTTTTAAATAAACTTAAGCCGAGCGAAAATTTGTTCAATTGTTAATTTGTGAAATCTTTATCAGCCTATATTAACATGTTTATACAGTTGGAAAGGCAGATGAAAGCAACTCCATACTCCACGTTAATTAAATATATAGCATATAAGTATATGCATATGTATGCACATTGCCTTCAGCAACCTGTTACATACACTTCATCAAAAACATTATACCCTAAATGCACATTTTGAATACGTTCCAGTTCACTCTGGCATGCAAAACAGTAGTTGCCTATGTGCAATAACAGTAGCTGCTGGCTGTTAACAGTAATCAGTAATGTAATCTAATGCAGGAGGTGGGGCTGTTAGTCTAAGTCAAATAATAACATAGCATTGCTGTTAGCCTGCTCGCCGTTAACAGTGCATGTGGGAGGGAATGACCATAGCCAGCCTATGTACAATAACAGCAGAGGCTAGCCCTTAACAGCGCACGTTTATTTTATGTATTGCCATGTATTTATTTATGTATGTACTCATATATAGGCAAAGAGCTAATCAGTTAGCCGTTAATAAGCTAGCTAAAAGACATTTACCGATCCGTTCGTTCGATTTCGTTTTCGATTCGTTCGCTGAGGGCTTCGGTTCGGCTTTGGTTTCTCGCTTCGTTTCGTTTACGTACGGGCTTTTGGTTAGCATTTGTTGTTGGCGTTGCTAGCGTTGCGTCTGTTTATTTCGATTTCGACTGTTTCGCCGCATTCGTATTCACTTGATTCATTAATTCATTCGCTGCTCTCCGCTCCACTTGGGCAGGTGAACAATTCGTAGTACCTGGCGCGTGTCGTACTAATTGCTTCACTCATAACTAAACTAAATTAAAAACAACAACAACAACAACGAAATATCAACACTAGTTGGAAGTGTATTAAATATTTGCCTAATCAATATATTGTGAACGTCAAAATTTCCTTATTCCTGAATCACTAAAGGAAAAGTCCCAGCAAGAAAGTCTCTTCTTATTAGACAAAGTGCATAATTGTGTTTTGTTATTTGCTGATATCGTGAAGTGAAAAGCCATTTGGGTACTCGAAATACACAATACATATGTATAGAAAATATCTATCTCTAAGTTGACTCGACTTGTTTACATTTCGAACAAAAACATCTGCATCTTGTTTTCGGTGAAATTTCTATTTGAACAGGTAACAAATTTTGCGATTCTTTTGTTTTATTTATACAACAACAGAAATGCTTAACATATTTTCGTATTTCGGTATTTCGCTCGTTCAACAATAAAAACAAATTGTGATTAGTTCGATTACGAGTGCTATAAAAATAAAATTATGATAGCCCAGAGGAATATTTTGAGAAAAAAAAAACAGGGTATAAAAATAGAGTAATATTAACAGTCAAGCAGAACATTGTCACGACTTTAGACCCCAAACGAGCCAGTGACAATTGCCCGCAGCGTGTGGAAATTATTTGGGTCAGTTATCATCAAACAATTAAACCAATCAATGAGCACTGCAAACATATATATAGAGATTCAATGATAACTAAATATGAAGTATTCTAAGAGGTTATTCCCTGGGTTTTTCTATAATGTTTATTGATTTTCCTTCAATTCCAATACAAAATTATTGAATGGCAATGTGAATCTAATTGAACAACCATATTTTAGATGTGCTCGTACATACTTCCAGTTTTTAGGCAATTTCTTATCTAATTTCTCGTTTCGCTTATCAATTAACAGAACTATGTTAACGTTCTAATTGGAACGTATACTAGCGTAGAGTGTAGTCTAATTGGTAATTTATACAGCTTTTCAA